TATATGGACGCTGAGCGCCAGGATCGGTTTTAAAATTTTAAATCTGCAGCTTTTATTATATAATACATGGTGATCCCTCACTGAAGATCCTTGTTCAGGTATATCCTGTCCTAGGTTGGCAACCCTCTGTCCCTGTCTCTCAATTGCGCTCCTGTGTTGTCACTCAATGGCACACAATTACTTTGCCCTCTACTTGAAGCTACTGAAAATGCTAGTTGCCTACAGTGCATCTTAACAGCATCATGTGCCCCTGGGCAAAGTAATGCACTGGGGCCCCTAGCAGCCTGAATCAGGTGTCCCCATCAGAATGTCCCCTTACATCAGGTGTCCCTATCACAGCACCCATATACATTAGGTTCCCCCATCACAGTGCCCCCTTACATCAGGTGTCTCCATCACAGTGCCCCCTTACATCAGGTGTCTCCATCACAGTGCCCCCTTACATCAGGTTTCCCCATCACAGTGCCACTTCACATCAGGTTCCCCCATCACAGTGCCCCTTCACATCAGGTTCCCCCATCACAGTGCCCCTTCACATCAGGTTCCCCCATGACAGTGCCCCCATACATCAGGTTCCCCCATCAGAGTGCTCATATATATCAGGGGTCCCCATCAGTGATCCTTTACATCAGGTTCCCCTTCCCTCAGGTTCCCCCATCACATTGTTCATAAACATCAGGTGTCCCCATCAGTGTTCCCTTACATCAGGTTCCCCATCACAGTGCCCCCCTAAATCAGATTCTCCAACCTCGGTGTCCCCTTCAATCAGGTTCCCCCATCAGAGTGTCCCCATAAATCAGATTTTCCAATCCCAGAGTCTCCATACATCAGGTTCCCCATCACAATGTCCCCATACATCAGGTTCCCCCATCACAGCGTCCCCATACATCAGGTTCCCCATCACAGCGCCCCCATACATCAGGTTCCCCCATCACAGTGTCCTCATACATCAGGTTCCCCATCACAGTGTCCCCATACATCAGGTTCCCCCATGATAGTGTACCCATACATCAGGTTCCCCATCACAGTGTCCCCATACATCAGGTTCCCCCATGATAGTGTACCCATACATCAGGTTCCCCATCACAGTGTCCCCATACATCAGGTTCCCCCATGATAGTGTACCCATACATCAGGTTCCCCATCACTGTGTCACCATACATCAGGTTCCCCATCACAGTGTCCCCATACATCAGGTTCCCCATCACAGTGTCCCCATACATCAGGTTCCCCCATCACAGTGTCCTCATGCATCAGGTTCCCCCATGACAGTGTCCCCATACATCAGGTTCCCCCATCACAGTGTCCCCATGCATCAGGTTCCCCATCACAGTGTCCCCATACATCAGGTTCCCCCATCACAGTGTCCCCATACATCAGGTTACCCCATCACAGTGTCCCCATACATCAAGTTTCCCATCACAGTGTCCCCATACATCAGGTTCCCCCATCACAGTGTCCCCATACATCAGGTTCCCCCATCACAGTGTCCCCATACATCAGGTTTCCCATCACAGTGTCCCCATACATCAGGTTCCCCCATCACAGTGTCCCCATACATCAAGTTTCCCATCACAGTGTCCCCATACATCAAGTTTCCCATCACAGTGTCCCCATACATCAGGTCCCCCATCACAGTCTCCCCATACATCAAGTTTCCCATCACAGTGCCTGGTTGTCCTGTTGCTGCTTTGCTTTCAGACATCTCCAAGTCACTAACCCAGAACAAGCAGCTAGACAAGGAAGTCTGAGTCTTCTCCAACGTTTATGGACTCCTCTTCAGCTTAGCATGAAACTTGGACATATCCATTACCAGCATTTTTAGAATGAGGTGATAATTGTCAGTCTCTCACGTTTCCCCCATGACGGGTGCCCTTGAACTATAACGGTTCTTTGTCATGTATATTGTAACATTTTTGTTACCCACAGGCTCTCCACAGTCTCTAATGATGTTAAACGTCCACAATGCCCTTGTAGGCATACAGTATAGGATTTTTTCCTAGCTTTTATAAAGGTATTTTTGTGATTTGGTAGTGCTGACGCATACCTTACTGATTGGTGTGAAGAGTAACTCTGATGAGGACAAGGTTGTGAAAGGGTTAAATGAATCTCTCTCTTATAGTGACTAGCCAGCCCCTCATATTCCCCCAAGACAATGAAGTCTTATATAAGCAGTCCCCCCCTCCCCCTACTGACTGTCTTCTACTCTGCCTGAGCTAGGATGGATCTATGCAGGGGTTACAGACTGCCAGGGGCACAGGGGACTCATATCCTCAGCTTGGCAAGGGCAGAGCCATCTCCTGAGACTGCTGGGGGTAGTGGGGGCAAAGGCAGGCATCCTGTATGACTGGCACAGGGCACAAGGACAGCTGGTGCTGGTAGTAAAGGGACTGGGGCTTCTGGATACAGTAGTGCAGCTTCATTAGGATACCCTGGCATTATCAATGGGAGTGGGCATTGAAGAACTGGGTGCCACCGATGCTAGGGCTGACATCAAAGAGGGCATTAGCTGGTAAGACTGGCAGGGGACGGTCCATTACACTGACTGGCATTGATCAGTGAATTATTCTCAGACTGGCAGGGACTGGGCACTAATACTGAGCCTCCGACTGTGCAGCAGTCATACAGTGAAGCTAGAAGTGGGCATTTGAACAAGACTTGGGTTTGGACCACTTAAGCTGGCAGCATTAGATGGTAAGACTGGCAGGGAACGGTCCAATACACAAACTGGCATTGACCATTGTCATGCTGGCAGGCAGTGGGCACGAAGCCTCTGATTGGGTAGTATTTGTACACTAAGGCTGAAAAGTTATACATAGCCATGTGGATATCTGAAGTGGGCATCTGAACAAAACTTGGGCATAGAACACTTGATCTGACAGCAAACAGTGTATTAATGGGTAAGACTCTTAGACTGGCAGGAAACTGTCCCTCACACAGACTGGCATTGATCAGCAAATTATATTGATGGTGGCAGGCAGGGGGCACGAAGGTAAAGCCTTTGATTTGGCAGTATCTGGAAGTGGGCATCTGAACAAGACTTGGGCATAGAAACAGTATATTAGAGGGTACGACTGGCAGGGAACGGTCCTTTACACAGACTGGCAATGATCAGTAAATTATTCCGAGACTGGCATGCAGTGGGTACTAAGGCTTTGCCTCTGATTGGGCAGTACTTGTACAGTGAAGCTGGAAGTGGGCACCTGAACGAGACCTGGGCATAGAGCACTTGGACTGGCAACTACCAGTGCATTAGCTGGTAAGACTGGCAGGGAACGGTCCTTTACACAGACTGGCATTGATCAGTAAATTATTCCGAGACTGGCATGCAGAGGGCACTTAGGCTTTGCCTCTGATTGGGCAGTACTTGTACAGTGAAGCTGGAAGTGGGCACCTGAATGAGACCTGGGCATACAGCACTTGGACTGGCAGCTAACAGTGCATTAGCTGGTAAGACTGGAGGGAACGGTCCTTTACACATGCTGGCATTGATCAGTAAATTATTCCGAGACTGGCATGCAGTGGGCACTAAGACTTTGCCTCTGATTGGGCAGTACTTGTACAGTGAAGCTGGAAGTGGGCACCTGAACGAGACCTGGGCATAGAGCACTTGGACTGGCAACTACCAGTGCATTAGCTGGTAAGACTGGCAGGGAACGGTCCTTTACACAGACTGGCATTGATCAGTAAATTATTCCGAGACTGGCATGCAGAGGGCACTTAGGCTTTGCCTCTGATTGGGCAGTACTTGTACAGTGAAGCTGGAAGTGGGCACCTGAATGAGACCTGGGCATACAGCACTTGGACTGGCAGCTAACAGTGCATTAGCTGGTAAGACTGGAGGGAACGGTCCTTTACACATGCTGGCATTGATCAGTAAATTATTCCGAGACTGGCATGCAGTGGGCACTAAGACTTTGCCTCTGATTGGGCAGTACTTGTAGAATGAAACTGGAAGTGAGCACCTGAACGAGACCTGTGCATAGAGCACTTGGACTGGCAACTAACAGTGCATTAGCTGGTAAGACTGGCAGGGAACGGTCCTTTACACAGACTGGCACTGATCAGTACATTTTTCTGAAAACTGTGCATTAAGGCTGAGCCTTTGACTGGGCAGTACGTGTATAGTGAAGCTGGAATTGGGCATCTGAACAAGACTTGGACATAGAACACCTGCAGTACGTTAGCTGGTGAAACTGGCAGGGGACGGCCCATTACACAGACTGGCATTGATAAATATAAATTATCCTCAGACTGGCAGGAAGTGGGCACTAGGGCTGAGCCTGTAATTGTACAGTGAAGCTGTAAGTGGGCATCAGAACAAGAATTGAGTATTTAACACTCAGGCTGGCAGGGAGCAGTCCATTACACAGACTGGCATTGATCAGTATAAACTGGCAGGGACTGGGCACTAGGGCTGGACCTCTGTCTGGGCACCAATTGTACAGAAAAGCTAGATATAGGCATCTGAAGAAGAGTTGGGTATAGAACACTGGATCAGCAAACAATGCATCAGCTGGTAAAACAAGCAGAGAAGAGTCCATTACACAGACTGGCATTGATCATTATAAACTGGCAGGGAACAGTCCATTACACTGACTGCCATTGATCACTATAAACTAGAAGGGGCTGGGCACTAAGGCTGACCCTCTAATTGGGCACTAATTGTACAGAAAAGCTAGATATAGGCATCTGAAGCAGACCTGAGTATAGACCTCTTGATCTATCAGCAAACAATGCATCAGCAGAGAAGAGTCCATTACACAGACTGGCATTGATCATTAATTCTTCTCAGACTGGCAGGGAGTGGGCACTAAAGCCAAGCCTCTGATTGGCCAGTGGACACTAAGTGACAGGGCAGGACAGCATATCACCTGGTGATGCTGTGACAGTGGGCAGTACCTAGAAGGTTGGCAGTCAGTGGAAGAGTGGTCAGGGAAGGGGGGGGGGGGGGGGAGAGCTGTGACGTTGGCAGGAGGAAGGTGAGACTGGCAGGGTAGAGCAGTGCTGGCTGGCAGTGGGCAGAGGAAGACATAGAAGGGGGCTGCAGGGGTAGAGCAGTAGGTAGAAGAGGAGTGCAGGGTAGAGCAGTGCACAGAGGAGGACATAGAAGAGGACTGCAGGGTAGAGCAGAGAGCAGAGGAGGACATAGAAGAGGAGTGCAGGGTAGAGGAGGACATAGAAGAGGAGTGCAGGGCAGAGGAGGACATAGAAGAGGAGTGCAGGGTAGAGAGGAGGACATAGAAGAGGAGTGCAGGGTAGAGAAGTGGGCAGAGGAGGACATAGAAGAGGAGTGCAGGGCAGAGGAGGACATAGAATAGGAGTGCAGGGTAGAGAAGTGGGCAGAGGAGGACATAGAAGAGGAGTGCAGGGCAGAGGAGGACATAGAAGAGGAGTGCAGGGAAGAGGAGGACATAGAAGAGGAGTGCAGGGCAGAGGAGGACATAGAAGAGGAGTGCAGGGCAGAGCAGTGGGCAGAGGAGGACATAGAAGAGGAGTGCAGGGCAGAGCAGTGGGCAGAGGAGGACATAGAAGAGGAGTGCAGGGCAGAGGAGGACATAGAAGAGGAGTGCAGGGCAGAGGAGGACATAGCAGAGGAGTGCAGGGTAGTGCAGTGGGCAGAAGAGGACACAGAAGGGTGTCCTCAGGGTAGCTGAGTTGTGCCTGGCAGTGGGCAGAGGAAGGCACAGAAGGGTAGCACTGCCCCCCTGAAGCTTGCATTGTGCAGGATTACACTACCCTCCCCCCTCCCCCTCCTCCTTCCATGTCTATGTGAGCCTGGCTGCTCACTTGGCTGCACAGGGGATGGATGAGATGAAGTCAGTCGCCGCCGACTCCTACCTGTCCCTGGCTCAGAGCTACGGCCATCCCTTCTACGGAGCTTTGCGCGGCGCGGATCCTACGCGCAATTACGCACCGCCTCCATCCCTGGACTTCAACCCCAACAGCCGGGACAGCAGCGACGATCAGACCGGGGACGACGAGGACGGCTACGAGCAGGGCAAGAGCGGGGGCCCCTACGACAACGATGGGGGCAAGCTGGGCAGCAAGAAGCCCAAGGAGCAGAGGTCCCTGAGGCTGAGCATCAACGCCAGAGAGAGGAGGAGGATGCACGACCTCAACGATGCCTTGGATGGCCTCCGGTCAGTCATCCCCTATGCCCACAGCCCATCGGTCAGGAAACTCTCCAAAATTGCCACCCTGCTCCTGGCCAAGAACTACATCCTCATGCAGGCCCAGGCTCTGGAGGAGATGAGGAGGCTGGTGGCTTACCTCAACCAAGGACAGACCTTGAGCAGCAACTTGACCAGCTCCCTGGCCCCCTTTGGACAGTCCTCTGTGTACCCATACCCTGGCACCAACGTGCCAACCAGTCCTGAGAAATGCACAGCCTTCCCTGGTGCCACCTCAAGCCTTTGCAAGCACTGTACAGACAAAGCTTGATGGACCTTCTCCTTGACCATCTTCAGGACTTTTCTCTCTCTCTCTCTCTTGCCACCCACTTCTCAGGACTTCGTGAATTCACCCTCTGCCTTGCTGGGATCTGGGGGGTCATGTACTGTGCCCATGTTACCTTGCTTCTCTTCCTTTTATCCGTGGTGAGAGTAAGGTTTCCATCACATTGAACATTTCTACAGGTCCACCACTTAGAACTTCGATGCAGAAGACTCCTTTCCATTAGAAAGTCTGGATTGATGCTGGAAACTCAAACAATAATAAATCAGACACACTTTCAACAAGTTGGGGTCATGGTTTCTTCTTTCTCTGAAATGGTAGAATGGGATCCATGTATTTGATTTACAGAATGTGGGCTTGAATTATTTATTATTTTTATTTATATTATTATTTTTATTATTATTATTATTATTATTAAATAATCTTGAATGGTTATGTGATGTCTTTCTTAAACGGCTACATTTTTTAAAATCTTTTGCCCGAGACACCAAAATATTAAATAGTTGGGTTGACTAGTACCATAAGTAGAAACAAAAAAAAGTGAATTTCTTTTTACGAATACAGTTGTCTTTGCGAATGTGTTGGCTGTAAATGGCGTTACCATCTTGCATTAGTATTTATGAAGCCTACAGTTTTTGTTACATAGTCTGGTTGAAAAAAGACAAAAGTCCATCCAGTTCAACCATTGTGTAACAACAATTTTAAAGGCACTTAAGCATCGATAAACCCAACAAAAGGTGCCCAGATTTATGGTTGTCCCAAACAGTCGTAAATAACTGATTTAATATTTTTTTTAAAAAAAAGTTAATTTTTGGGAAATTCTTGCCTGATTATAATTAAAGGTTACATTGTTACTTGGTGAAATGTTGCATCCCAGACTTTGTATATTTGCTTATTGAAATGAATGTTGACCTTAAAGAGTTACTTTTTTTAATATCTTTAGTCACTGGGGAAAAGCCACAGTCCTTGTTAGCTCTGTATGCCAGTACCTTATTCTATATAACTTTTTAAAATATTCACTATAACCTTTTATTTTTTCTATACACTCAAACACAGCTTTTTTTTATTTACACCGAAGCGTGAGAACTGCTGTTATTAAAAAATCAAAAAGAAAGTTAAAAGAAAGTCCTATCGGTTTTATACTAATCTGAAATTATGGCAAAAAAAAAAAAAAAAAGACCTGAAAATGGGGACTTTTGAGGCACCTCATAGACATAAAAACATGATTTATTTTGTATCAAAATCCAATGTATAAAAAAATATTCTATTTCACAGCAACAGTAACTAAAGCGTGTGGAAAATGAAAAGTTTACAATATCAAGGAACAGCAAATCTCTTTTTTTTAATACATACATATATATATATATATATATATATATATATATGTATTTAAAAATATATATATAAAAATATATATATAAAAATGTATTTCTCTCTCTCTCTCTCTCTCTCTCTCTATATATATATATATACACACACACACATATATATATATATATATATATAATATTTATTACAGTATAACATTTATTTATATATATAGTAAATACATTTTATATATATATTTATTACAGTATAACTTTTTTATATATATAAAGTAAATATATATTATATTTTATATATATATATATTATTACAATATTAGGGATGTGGCACTTAAACACAGATTTGAATATTAATTATTTATACTAATCTGTTTCTCACGATTGCCAGGAATATTCTGTCTTGTAAAGATTTTTAATTAAGGAGTGAATGATCTTATGTAAATCAAAGTAATGTTGGGTGTCCTACACACACCCAGAAAAGTTCAAAGCTTTTATGTTGTTGGTTTTTTTTTTTTGTTTTTTTTTTTTACATTCTGCTAAGCCAAGTTGATACATTTGATGCCTTTAAAAATTAACTGTTAAAGAAAAAAAAATTGCACTCCATAATACCCTTTGACTTTATTTCCACTTTGAGGTGCAAGTTAGTTTCAAAGACATTCTATCTATTTTCATTTTAATATTTACGTTTTATTATTTACCATTTTGAACCTAATGATGCGTTTTGCTATTATTTCTGGAGCCAAGCCCCGCACAATATTTTAGGGTTTCGTAGTATGATCCAGTTACATCCTCTTGTTACAGGTTTTCGTATACTGTGACGCTTGAAGGTCCCAACTTTGCAATTTTGTACCAAAAAACATTTTAGTTTTCAACACATTCCGGAGGATTGGGTCTCACCTTAGGTACTTATACCCTCTAAATCTGGCCATCCATTATACACATTTTTTATTCTATTTCCTTTAGATTGTCCTTCAACTGTGTAGTGCAAGGGCCTTTTTGATTGCATGCCCATTGAAAGTGTTTAGGGTGGACCCCATAATATGGTGGTTTTGGTAAATCTAAAGGAAAATTGTACAAGAAAATTGAATAAGGTATGGCCAGCCTTAGGCACATGGTCTGCTTAGTTCATGGGTGACCACACTATCCTTCATGGAATCAAAGTCCTCCTGCGGCCACTGAGGTGGTCCTACTTAAAGTCTACTGTACACGCTACAATCTGGTCATACAGTCTTCGTACAATCAACTCTAGATTTACTTGGTAATATGAGGGCCCACCTAAATTATCTGGTCAATAGGCACCTAACTGGACAGGCTCCTTGTATATTTGATGCTAGATCTGATGGAATTTGGGTCTCACCTTAGGTACTTATACCCTCTAAATCTGTCCATCCGTTATACACGTTTCTTATTCTATTTCCTTTAGATTGTCCTTCAACTGTGTAGTGCAAGGGGCTTTTTGATTGCATGCCCATTGAAATTGTTTGACCCCATGTTATGGCGGTTTTGGTAAATCTAAAGGAAAATTGTACAAGAAAATTGCATAAGGTATGACCAGCCTTAGGCACATGGTCTGCTTAGTTCATGGGTGACCACCCTACCTTCATGGAATCAAAGTCCTCCTGCGGCCACTGAGATGGTCCTACTTACAGCACATGGTCTGCTTAGTTCATGGGTGACCACCCTACCTTCATGGAATCAAAGTCCTCCTGCGGCCCCTGAGATGGTCCTACTTACAGCACATGGTCTGCTTAGTTCATGGGTGACCACCCTACTTTCATGGAATCAAAGTGCTCCTGCGGCCATTGAGATGGTCCTACTTACAGCACGTGGTCTGCTTAGTTCATGGGTGACCACCCTATTTTCATGGAATGAAAGTCCTCCTGCGGCCACTGAGATGGTCCTACTTACAGCACATGGTCTGCTTAGTTCATGGGTGACCACCCTACCTTCATGGAATCAAAGTCCTCCTGCGGCCACTGAGGTGGTCCTACTTAAAGTCTACTGTAAACGCTACAGTCTTCATACAATCAACTCTCAATTTACTTGGTAATATGAGGGCCCACCTAAATTATCTGGTCAATAGGTACCCAACTGGGCAGGCTCTTGTTCTGTATATTTGATGCTAGATCTGATGGAAATTGTCCCGTCAGTTTGTAACATGTCCAGCTTAACAAGGAGATCTAAACTACTTAGAAACAGCCACAGTTGGTGGGAAATTGCCAGAACGTGGTGCGTTTTTATAAAAAAAATTAAAATTTCATCACCAAGTCCTCAAGAAAAGAAAAGATCAGTTTAGAACAGGCCGAGTGATCCGAGTGTTTAGAAAAAGTAAAAAAAAATGATCTGGAAATGTGCTGTAGGTTGAGCGCCACATTCATGTGGCAAGGCTCATCTAGAGGACCACAAAGTTGTACCTTCCACGGTGGCAACAGGGAAGCAGCTGTTGCCGACTTGCCTTCAAAAAGTGCAGGCTTAAGGTTTGTCATCTTCATCCTTGCTTCAATTATCATTATTATTATTATTATACAACAGGATTTATATAGTGTCAGCTCTTTATAATATAAAAAGTCAATACAGGGCCCTGCTCCTTGGAGCTTACAATCTAAGAGACAATACCAAGTTGGCGGTGCCGCCATACCTCCTATCCTGCATCCCTTGTTCAAGACCAAAAGCAAGGACAAGGATGGCAGCCTTGCAATATTTTTTGTATTTTTTTTTTCTTTCAAAACAAGTCCAAATATCTCCATTTAAATCAATGCAAGGGGCAATGATGAAAGTGTATCACTGCAAGCAATCAGCTATCGCTGCCAAGTGTGGCGCTCTGAAATCGCAGTTTTAATAAATCCAAAGTGGGATTACAAAATACGCAATTCTGACTGTTGTCTGCAGATTGAAAGGATCTGATCACCGATGCAGATTGAAAGGATCTGATCACCAGTACAGAAATACGAAGCTGCATTGTTGTCTTCTGAAATTTTGATATGCCCTGACCACCTGGGCATTGGGTCAGTACAGGGGAGGACTGACCATTGAGGAACTCGGGCACTGCCCAAGGGCCCAGGATCAGTAGGGAGCCCCATGAGATGCCCCTGGTACCTTTCATAGGCAGTTTTGGGTGTGGTTTGAGTATGGGTGAGGATACAGGGGCCCCATGATCCCCTATTGCCCGGGGGCCCTATGAGTTGTTAGTCTGCCCCTGGGTCAGTATACAAAACACTTGGGTAGCCGTAAGTATCCTTCACATTCTTCTGGTGCTGCGTGGACAGAAGATGTCAGTGTGCTAGTAGTGGCATGACCATAGCCACAACAGACCATATGACTGCTATAGGGCTTGGGGGGTGGAATGGGGCCCCATTGAGGAAAGGAAGTTGTTGGGGGGGGTTCTTTAGGTAATTTAGGATCAGTTCACACAAATCGCATAGCCAAGTAGTAAATGATGTTACCGAATCCTACACATTCTTCCGGTGCTGCGTGGACAGAAGATGTCAGGGTGCTACCAGTGGCATGACCAGGGGCGGACTGACAACTCATGGGGCCCCGGGCAATAGGGGATCATGGGGCCCCTGTGTCCTTCCCAAACTCAAAAAAGCCTGTGAAAAAGGTACCAGGGGCATCTCATGGGGCCCCCTACTGACCCCGGGCCCTCGGGCACTGCCCGAATTT